TCTTTTACTGGTGTATTTGCATTTCTTTCTCATTAGCTATCAACTGAGGACATGCAATATGAAAGAGGGAATATTGTGTCAAGAATTTACGAATGTCTTGTTTATGAAGGTGAATTTGCTTGTTCCCTTTCTCGGTTTTTTCACCATAAGCTTCTTGGTCCTTAATAATTTTAAACCATTTCAAAAATTATGCTTGCATGTTCTTAATGCACGCAAACAATTACCAAAACTTCTATACAATTTTAAGCATTCTAATATCTTTGAATTTTGTATTAGCTCAACGTTCTTTTAGCGTTTACTTACAACAATTACCATGGACAGCTCCTAATTTTTACATGTATTCAATCTATTTATCTATTATCTTGAGCACTTAACAATCAATCTCCTAATATAACCACAGAAAAAAAAATATGAGAATGATTAACAACATTTATAATAATAGTTATAACAAATATAAAATCAACTACAACAAAATCAACTATAATAAAATAGTTAACAATAATAATATAATAGTGCATAAATGTGGTGGATTGAAGCATGGATATCTCTCTTTCTTCTAATAAGCTCTATCATTTTTAATAAAAATAACTTCAAACTTCTAATAATTTATATTGATTTTGATAAAAAAAAAATCTTAATTGTTTTCCCCATTTTAATAAAAAACCTTCAAACTTCTGATAATTTCTATTGATTTTCATAAAAATAACCTAATTTTTTTCCAAAAATTGTTGAATTATAGGGGCCAACTGCAATTAGGGACAACTATTAGTGATTTATTGATGAACTAGTACCATATAGTCTCACTCGTTCATGAATCTATCTTCGATCACCATGGACTAACTACTAGTCCGACTCCCGATTAGTGTCGAAGTAGTCACAAATTACTTGAATATCACTGATTAGTGTTGAACTAATCCATTGTCACTCAGGCTAGTCATTAGTTAATGAGTATTGTACAATATACCCACCATTAGTGCTCAACTAGCTTGGTTTTTTTTTTTAGTCACTTCGAATTTTCTTTGCTGCCTTTGTCTTCAATTATTGACTTCCAAGTTCCAACCAATATGGTTATTCTACATCCGATACAATGAATACAAGACAATCCAACAACTTAGTGACCTATTACAGCTCGTATCTGTGAAACGAAAGATATTAAAGAATAACTTCTGACTTACAAGCAAAAGAATCAAAAGAACAAGAGCCCCCACTCCGGAACTGCTCGAGCTGGCTTGAGTTTAAGTTGCAATGACTGCAATCTTTAAGAAAACAATGATACCTGCTAAACAAATGATTCCTAGCTTTTATTACTTCCTTTTGGTTCCTCCTTCCTTCACTGTTTCTTTTTCTTTATGGGTTCACTGCCATGCTTCTTTCAGTTAAAAACACTTTGTTTTCGGCTGATTACCGCTCATTGAGATAGCAACACAAGACCAGCTTCTAAATCCTCCAACCTAAGAGTAAGTAATTCATCTGTATCTATGCAGTCAAAACTGAGCCTCAAATCCAAATTTTCTCTTGCATTGACTAGCATCGGATCTACTAGACCTCCATTCATTTCCTGGCGCTGCTTTTCCGTCGTTTCTCTGCTACACGACGGGTGCAACTTAAATCCATACAACCAGATACTCTCAACTTGATTAGTCATTTTAAGATGAAGAATCTTGGCAAGATCCTCAGAACTGAAGTCGTTAAAAAGAAAAAACTTTGTTACCCTTCTGCAGAGGCCTTCATTTGAAGAAATCACACGCTTCATTGGTTCACTGTAGCCAGCAAAGATTACAACAACCATGACTGACATTCAACTAGCTTGATTGTTTGGCTGTTTAAAAGGTGATTTTGCAGAGTCATTCACAGGCAAAATTTGCCCCAAATCCAAGAACCTGAAAAATGCTGGAAAGAGCACGTTTTTATGGTATACACAAGTGGTGATTGCACCATAGGCATGAGAAGCTAAGGTTGGGATGATGGTGCAAGTGATCAGAAGAAATCTAAAGCCTGCATTTGATTATTGAACTCATTGCTGGACTTTCGTGTATTAATATTACTGAAACCTTGTATGTAGTGGAATGTTTAATTTTTCAGTCTTAACAAATATTTGATACATTTTTTACATGGATAGGTATCCTAACTTAATTTTGTTTTTCAAATTCTTCATTTTGTCATGATATTAACTACTCTTGTTTTATTTATTATTATTATTTGTTGATTTTATCTTATCATTTTATTTTCTCGTAGTTTGTTAACTTACTCATTTTTCAACATTACCAATTTATGACAAGTTTTAGCCTTCTTTCCTAACTTTCCAAAATAAAATTTTAAATTTACACACAAAAAAATGCTAGATGTTCAAAGTTTTTGGATTAAGTTTTTATGTTAACTTTCACATTATTAGTTCAAATTTTAATATTCTTATTTTTCAATTATTAAATAGTATGTCATTTTGTCAAATTGCGCACGAATGGGAAAAAATTGATAATTAGGTTTATTAGGCATTATAAGTAAATATTTAAAATTAATGATGAGTGTAAAGGATGGTATAAATTGATAATTTAGCTTACAAAAGGAATTTAGATGAGTTTGCAAAAGTTAAAATAAATCAGTTGTAAATAGACAATTAGATTACCCAACTCATTTTCTGATTTACTTATTTATACCTATTTAATTAAATGAGTATCAATAGATTAACTTATTTATACTCATTTTTCATTTTAACCCATCTAAACTCTGCCAAGTCACCCATTTTGATACCTCTAGTGCTCACACATGTAATAATCGTTCCAGAAATGTTGAATTATTGGGGCCAATATACTCACCATTGGTGACTTATTTTATTTTCTCTCACGTACCACATCATAGTTTCACATTAACTCATCGTTACACCGGTCCGTTCATTGGTCTTTTCAACAATGCTTACACCGGTCCGGTCCGGTCCGTTCATTGGTCTACTTTCAGCAAATTTAAAACTCCATCTGCTTTTCATCTTGCATGTTTCCTGTGGCTCCTTTAAAATTAGCTATTGATTTCACGCTTTGTTTTTTTTAGCCATTTTTCCACGCAGCCATCTTTTATTGTGTGGGCCCCACCAACATTCGCCCACGGTACCTGCTACGTAAATGCTCTCCAACCAATAGCTTAACAACACTGGAATTCTTTCACTTCAGTCTTGAACGCCCTCCATGTGTTGACCTTTCAACCCATTTGCAGCCAACTTTTCCGAGTTAATGTATCCTCAATTAATACTTTGTAGAAAACTCCCTGCGTACGTATATATATATATATATATATAACCAGATATCCATAGCACGTATATATATAACCAAAAAAAATATATATATATATATATATATATACATAACCAAATATTCCTAGCAACTACTTCAGAACAAATTCATTTATTACTCTCATCCAAATAGAACCAGACCTCGTAAAAATTGATCCGAATGAATTTGTCAAATCCATTTTCTCTCCAAATCATTATATATATATGTGTGTGTGTGTTGGTTTCCAAGAAGAATCCATGATCAGATTCGCTACTACAGCCACGAATCCGTTCGCGAATTGTGTATTTACCTTTTGTCCAGAAGTTTTGGGCGATGAATCTGCTGCGGAACAGAACATGTTCCTCGATTTTGCTACCTACCTTCTGAACAATTAACTCCGAGTTCTTGACTCGGTAATCATCTATAGCATGGCCTTAATGAAAGCAATAAGAGTAGTATTCGGGCAAGTTATCATGATTTAAGTGGGATGGAGTAAGATCATTCAATCCTGACAATCCAGCACATAGGATCCTGATGCGTATCTCATGTATGTTAAACTACATATACGACATCAAGATATTGAATACTTAAGAATTAGCTTACGGATGAACCAGATCATACTTTTGCATGTTTTGCCATAAAACACTACTCGCATGACAAGCAATTATAAAGGAGTTTAATTCTTTCATTTTAACTTATAAACACATGGAAAACAATACTAAAATTTGACTAAAAATACGTAAAATATATACTGATCACTTCTTATTTGGATGTTGTCGGAATAAGAGAGGAAATTGGTTGCTGCAAAAAAAATTTTAGAGTTTGGCTTGCAAAGAAAGAAAAGAAATGAGGAGGATTCGAAGGATTTTATCCCTCCTTTATTTGGTCAAGCACCCCATTTAATGGGCATGCGTCTCACATGACCTATTTTTGTCCAAATTGCTTTGAGTTTTGTCAATTGTCCTCAAACAGTCGAAATTGAGCAACTTTGAGCATGCGATGTGTCTGGGGCGAGGCTTTGGGAAAGAAATTGGTCATCACGTGTTATGGTACAGAAACCAGAGTTGCAGGAAGCAGAATGAATCTAACTCGAATGAAACTATTCAGTAATGAATCAATGGGATAGTGATTGAATGAACTTCAATTTTCATTAATGAATCGTAACAACAAGTACAAGAACAGAGGAGACGGATTCAGATAAGAAGGTGGAAGATCTGAAAGAAATTTGGGAGGGAAAAAATGAGGATTGTTCCTCAGGTTACTACAATCAATTCCGGATGGAATAATTAAAAATCTCCTCTCACAATGAAGCAGGCATGTCTGCTTATAAAGCTATCCAATTTTTAACAAACTTCTAACTACACCAATAAGAATTAAACACGTGGCTTCCAATACAATCTAAACACGTGGCCTTCTTTTACACAGCTCACTCCATGACAGAGCCTCCCCCTTAAACAATCCTTGTCCTCAAGGATGTTGAACAAAGTTCCAAGCTTCCAAACAAAGTCTTCGGATTGATATTTGGCAATTCGCAGCAAGCAAGTAGTATAAGAAAATGGCAAAGCATTATAAAGACGTACTATAAAGATTGAAAAACATTTTAAAACGAAAAGTATAGAATAAGGAATTATTGAGGTGACACCGCAACATCCCATTATTAAACTAGTACAAATTTTGATATGTGATGTTGTTGGATTCAAGAAATCCTGACTTGCTAATACCGATCCATTTTAATTTCCCATGGAAGAAACGCCAGTATTCGCTCCTTCATCCTCAACCAAAGGTACAGAGAAAATGGATGAATTTCAAGAATTGCTACAAAAATTCCTAAAGAAGTAAACTGGGATGGCCGTTGGCAATGCTATTACGACAATTTTTGGTGTCCAGCAACAGTTCGTAGATCCACAATCTTCTTTCAAAGAAACTTCAAAGCCAAGGATCGCGACGTTATCTTAGCTTCCATGCCTAAATCAGGCACCACTTGGCTAAAATCACTAAGCTTTAGCATCATCAACCGCAAGAAGAACTCAATACTAAAGGGCCCTCTCCTCACCACCAATCCTCATGAGCTTGTACGTTTTCTGGAGTATGATTTATTTCTGGAATGTGAAAAACCTGATCTTGATGCCTTCTTGTGTCCAAGAATTTTCTCAACACATCTACCATGCCATGCCCTTCCTAAATCAATTTTGAATACAAAACGTCGCACAATTTATATACGCGGAAACCCTTTGGATCAGTTCATTTCTCACCGACACTTTTTGCTTGAAAATCGTGGTGAAGATCAGCAAAAGCACTTCCCATTGATGAAGATTTTGGATTATTTTGCAAAGGCATATACCCGTTGGGACCCTTTTGGGATCATGCTGAGGGGTACTGGAATGCAAGCTTAAATGATGTTCAAAAGGTGTTGTTTCTCAAGTACGAGGATCTCAAAATAGATGCAACTTCTCACGTGAAGAAGCTAGCAGAGTTTTTGGGATTTCCTTTTTCTCCAGAGGAAGATGAAAATGGTGTAGTTGAGGAAATTGTTAGGCTTTGTAGCTTAGAGAATCTCAGGAATTTGGAGGGGAACAAGAACGGCGGTGTTAATACTCCAGCTACTAAGTTTAAGGCTAGTTCCTTTTTTAGAAAGGGAAAAGTAGGAGATTGGACAAATTTTCTTACTCATTCCATGGCAGAACGTTACAAGAAAATCATGGAAGAAAAATTGGGAAATGTGGCTTATCATTTGAACTGTTCTAATGGTTGAGCAATATATTAATTTTCGCCTTTTTTGTTGAATGCTTTTGGTCAATCCTCTTTGGAGATCTACAAATGAAGAGTTTTAGTGTTCGAATGCTTTAGATCGATCATTTTCTTTGTTTTGATGATAGACATAACCATTTCTGATGCGGAGAATTTTGAAGTGATTTGAGAAGTACTGTTATCATTGTTTATCAGATTAATAGAACTAAGGGCTGTTTGGAGTTGCTGGAGCTTGTTGAAAAGTATTTTCTCAATAAAGCTTTTAATAAATGTACTTATTAAGTGGTTAAATGCTTTTAAATATGCTGTTTAGTCCTTAAAAAAAAGTATGCTGTTTGGAGACATAGTTTAATAAGTTTTTACTATATTGGATAATGTGTGATTTGAAAATTTTTAAATGTATTTATATCTTTATTTAGTTTATAATATAGGATAAAATGATTATGTTTAATGTTTTATTTTTTAAATCATAAAAGCTACTCTAAAAGCTTTAAATTTGATTTTTTGCTACAAATGCTTTGTCACGCCTCTCTTTTGAAAAATAAAATTACGAGTCATAAAAAATGAATTTTTTGATTAATATGAATTTTTGGTTTTTAGAGAATAAATAAAGAAAAATAGGACTTAAAAAGTGCGACGATTTTGACCCAAAATAATAGTTTAAAAAGGGTTTTTAAGAAAAAATAGGAGCCGATACTTTGTATTAAGTTAAGGTGTACCAAGTCACCCAAAAATATATTTTCAATAAAAAAAAAATAGGTAAAACTCTTTTTAAACGACTCCAGATCTTTGAAAACAAGATAAAAGAGTTCGGGAGTTACGGTTGAAGAAAGAAAAGGCAAAGATTTGATCTAAAACACCCTTTCAACCTAGTTAAAGTTAGTCGCATGATCTAGTCGAATTTTTTTTTAATTTAATCTATAAAACTTATCACATTTGGATGTTACTATATCGATGCGAACCTAAACCTAATGAATATTGAGATGGTTGAAATATCTTTTCAAAGTTTAATTGATGCAATTCACATTAATTGTGATGTCCAAAAATGATTCTTAAAAGAGATCACAAATATGCAAAATGAGACTCAAAGAAAAGAAGAATTATAATGTATAAATATACGTGACCTAAAAAAGAGGAATGCAACATAACAAGTACGGGGGACTAAGATTTGTGACTCAATTTTCCTTTTTATAGAGGAGATACGAGCGTGCTAAGGCTAAGAAGCCGTACGCGTCCATTTCCCATATTTGAAGGGTGACTCTCCTAATCTAGTCACGCAAATGAACTAACCTACTTCTAATTTTGTAAATGGAATGCAAGTCCAAATGTCATGTTTTGCACACATAGAGGTAAGAGAGATAATATATAGAGGAAATATTATGTAAGATGAGAAAAAAATCCTAAAATGAGAATATGCGTGGGGTGCAATAAATGTCACGCAAGCATGTGATTCTAGAGTGTAGACGGCATAAAGGGTCTAGCATTAGACTAATTCATTTCTACAAGTCTTTACTAGCGTTGGACTAGTGAGAAATCGGGGAGCGTGGCCACAACTAGCGTTGGACTAGTGTGGTGACGTTATGCGTTTATTATAACTAAATAAATCATATAAAACATAATTAAAGCAAATAAACACATAATGCACATAGAGCACATAACACATGAGCATAATTTTTAGATTCAAAATCCTAATGAAAGCGAGTAAACACATAAGCAAACAAACATGCAAGCACACAAGGAAATAAACGCAAATGAAAGCCTAACTATTACATTCGAGGCCTAACTATAATTTAAGGGGGGAATTCTAAAAATAATACCCTAACTATTACATTTATCTAACTAAATATATTTTTAACAAAAAATAAAACCTATCTATTACATAGGCTAGTTAAATACATGTCTTGAGCACCTATCTATCACAACTTGTCATTTTAATGCCTCTTAAATAATGATCAAAATTAAATTAAATAAATAAAACTTAAAATGAATAAGAATGAATAATTAAAAGAAAAATACTCAAAACATGCAATTGCACATAAAAACACATTGGAGCACATAAAAGAATTTAAAATAATAAAAGAGATTACCTCCCTTGAAGTTGTGGTTAAATGGGGTGAAATTTGCCCTAATTATGCTCCAAAATTAACAAAATAATCAAGACACCAATTTAATTATAAAACAAATGAAAATAATCATGAAATCTACCAATTAAAGCACTTGAATGAAGTATAATTAACAATTAAAGAAAAAAATAACTTATATTTAAGAAATCAAAACTATCAGGGATCTAATTGAAAAAATTAAGAAAAATTTTCACAAAATTTAGGGTCAAAATTAAAGAAAAATAAAGTCAGGGACCAAATTGAAAGACAACCCAAGTTCTTAAAGCCATAGTACAATTACTTACAAATATAGGGACCACTTTGCAAAATTTGTTACCAGATTTTTCTTAACAAAAGGCCATGGGCCATTTTTCCTCTTTTTGGGCCGAAAATTTCGCAAGCCTAGCCGAAAACATCAAGAAAATATGCAGGCTAGCCAATCACTTTTGACAAACAAACCCAATCAAAAAATGCAAGGGCTTTGGCTTCCAAGCCCAAGACAAACCCAATCAGAACTTATTAAAACCCATTTCCAAAAGTCAAAACATCATAACCAAAGCCGCTGTTAAATTTTCTTACAAACCCCAACAAGACAACTAAAAAAAATATTAAAAACTAATTATGTGTTACAATCCAGGATTGATCTACCCAAAAAAACTCATTTAAAATATAAAGGAGATGATTGAAACTTAAAAGGACAAAAATGGTTCAATTACAGAACCTTTTGGGCCATAACATAATTACTTAGAAAGTCAAGGATCAAAAGGCAGTTTTTAAAAGTTTTGCATGCAAAGCTTTGAAGAAGCTTTCTTCTGCAACCGAAAGCTTTCTTTCTGCAAGTCAAGAAATTTATTCAAACTCAAAATGACAGCCGCAACATTCAAGCCAAATTCATGGAATCATCAACTAAACCCAATAGGAATCACATCCCCACAAACAAAACACAGAACAACATGGGACTAATGGCTCAAAATTTCCCATCCTAGATTTGCAGATAGAAAGGAAAGCAGACAACTTTCACTCATGGACACCGAACAAAACCCCAAAACATAACTTTGCTTATGAACTGCAAGGCTTGCAAAGATAATCAAGGACAAACATTTACATTAACTTCCAAATCTTATCTTCTTTTATGCACACCAGATACATCAGACCCAGCAAAACCATAGAACCCACACCATAAGCTCATGAAAGCATAATCTGAAAAAGGTTCTCTTTTGATGAGTTAAAGATTTTTCCTTTTGTGGATTGCAGCAAGAAAATGAAAGATTAAGAATTACCTTCGATGTTTACACACAGAGAAATTGAGAAAAGTGGGATTCAAAGCTCAAATCTAGAAGCCAGGAACTTTGATGCAGAAACTTTAAGAATGATGAAGGTAACAGGTTCAAGCCCGGATTTGGAGATGTTGCAGAGGTTTTTTCCTAAAAATTTCCAACACAAAATCTTCTCCTCAATCAACGTAGATTTCCCAGAAAAAGAAAAAAGAACTAAAACGTGATGTTTATACAGGAGAAATATTAATATAATAAAAAATGAGACAGAGAGTGTTACAGGATATAGGACAGAAGATCCGTTGTGATATCTAAAACACTAAATTTGCAATCTGATTTTAAAATATTACATTCTAGTTTCAACTGTTCATGTTATTTCTTCAAACTCCAATTAATGATGAATTAGAACTTTAACTTTTAGCTCAGCGTGGCATCTTTGACACATCTTTAGATATGTTTTGATGGACAATTTGTTTTAAAATACAATAAGAACAAAACAAGTAATAAAGCTATATTTCTATATTTTTCCCTTCAGTTCTTAAGATCATTCAATCTTTGACAGGTTCATATGCTAAACTACACATGCGACATTAAGATATTGAATAACTGAGAATTAGCTTCAGGATGAACCAAATGTGACGCAGTTAGTACGTTTTGCTATTTGCTACCTGAAACATTTTTGTTGGCATAAGAATTGGAATGTATCAACAAAAAGTTACAGCCAGACAAGGCAAACCTTTTGCTTGTCTTAATCCTATAACCCTCAAATCATTCTTAATTACAAGCAAAATGATTCAGTGCTCGTGGGAATTGGATGACTTTATCCTACAAATGTACCCTCTGTAGTGTTAATATGGGAAAATCCATACAAGGAGAAACCACTAGAACCTCGCCATTGGTTACAAGAATCACCACTATCGACAGCAAGGTTCCAGGTTGAACGAGGGAGCAGTTCTTTTGGAGGTTTCTCCAACTTCCCTATATTAGACCATCGTGGGCATAGGAAGATATAAGCTATGCAAATAGTTCATATGAGATCCTACTTCAACCCTGATGCAGAGGACGGATTAGAGTCAAAATCTCCTGGAATGAAAACAGGCAACTGGTTTGAGACAGAGTCCCTTTTATATCTAGTGTCTTTAGGCATGATGATTGGAAGCCTATCCTGTCCATCTCTTGCCCCTAAGCCTCTCTCACTCTTCAAACCATCCCTAATTGGACCACTTAGAAGTGGGCCACCAAAAAATATGGACTCCCCAGCATAAAGCAACCTCTCTGACTGTTGGATTGGAAGATTTGTAAGCTGTGAAGATTCCTGTGGGTCAGCAACAGGCTGCTTGTCATTATTTTTTAATCCTGCATTTGTGTTTGACACTCCAGGAACAAATGATCTACTACGTGCATCTGAAGCTGACACTGGGACAGAAACATATCTACCAGCTTCTTGGTCCCAAACAACCGATGTCCTCTTAATATCTCGTAGTAGTGAAGTTGCAGGCGCTGCAGCTGAAAGCAATAATGGGTCAGAAGCACTAACCTTCTGATTGATCTTTACATCAGTGCCAGATGGAGGATGGAGCGTTGGGTCAGCAATCCGTGGGAAAGCAACTCTTGGGGCTAGAGGCTGC